GCGGGGTGCTCCCAGCCACCCCCCACCTCCTCAGCGCCGCTCCCCACCTGGGTGCCCGGGCAGGGTGGGCCCGCTGGGCCGTTCCCAGAGCGTCTCCCGGAAGACCCGGGGCTGATCCCTGGGGGAGCTTACCCCGGCCCTTAGGAGAGGAAGGTAAGATGGCACGTGCGGACGTAGGGGGACCAGATAGACAAATCCATTAGGCGTTCTGTTGGGGGGAAGGATGGGGTCCAGGGCATCATTTAGTCCAGTGATGGCGAACCTTTTGAGCTCGGCGTGTCAGCATTTTGAAAAACCCTAACTTAACTCTGGTGCCGTGTCACATATAGAAATTTTTTGATATTTGCAACCATAGTGAAACAAAGACTTATATTTTTGATATTTATTTTATATATTTAAATGCCATTTAACAAAGAAAAATCAACCAAAAAAATGAGTTCACATGTCACCTCTGACACGCGTGTCATAGGTTCGCCATCACTGATTTAGTCTGAAGACTAAAGCAACCTTGGGATTTGTATCTTTTAGGCATTTAAAGCCAACGAGGCCCAGACTGATAAGCTTTCTGCTGTAGCATCAAGGAAGGCGGCTTATACACCAGGGGTGGGGAACCTTTTTCCTGCCAGGGGCCATTGGATATTTATAGCATCACTCTCGGGCCATGTATCTGGTCAAACATTTCATTAACTCACTCCTACTGCCTTGGCGGGGCCAGACCAAATGATTCCTTCGAGGGCACGGCCCACGGGCCGTACGTTCCCCACCCCTGTTATAGATGAAAATATTAAGACAGCAGAAATGTCAGTGTTTTTTCCCAAGTTTACACACACGTTATGGAAGAAGCTGAAGAGAAAACTCAGATGTTCTGATGCCCACAAACTGTCTCCGTCCCTCCCGGTGCTCTGCCCACCTCCCCGCGCCTTAGGGTTTGGGGTGCTCCTCGCGGTCCGCCCCTTCCTGCGGGGTCTGGTCGGAACGTGCCGTTCTCTATGCGACCAGCGGCCCAGCTGCTGTTCCCTCCGACAGGTCCATCTCCCAGAATTCCTCCGTGCTGCACGAGGAGGAAGACGAGCGTTCCTGCAGCGACTCGGAGACGCGCCTCTCTCCGCGGCCGGCCGCGCAGCAGCCGGGAGAGGTAGCCTGCACCGCCCTCCCTTTCGTGGGGTCGGACTCCAGTGCCTGTCGGATTCCCGGTCAGGTCCACCTGCTGTCATTCATTCGTCAACACCTTTTTTTAACTTTTATAAATATGTTTTTTTTGATGTCAGAGAAGGAGAGAGAGATGGAAACATCAATGATGAGAGAGAATCATTGATAGCGGCTGCCTCCTGCACACTCCACACTGGGGATAGAGCCCGCAACCCAGGCATGTGCCCTGACCGGGAATCGAACTGTGACCTCCTGGTTCATAGGTCGACCCTCAACCACTGAGCCACACCGGCCGGGCCGCCAAACACCTTTTGAGCCCTCTCTGAGACAGCGGCAGAGGTTTCGTTCAATTCATTTATTCATGAGCCTGTGACTTACCTGTCGCTATTCCGTCTGCGGAGGACAGCAGCAGTGAGGAGACCGCCAACCCCTGCCTGGTGGCGCTTATGTTCTTGATGGTGGGGTGGGGGTGGCCCGAAAGGCAGTAAGTGAAAAACGTGTGTCCGAGGGCGCTGTGTTCGCTGTGGCAGAGGAGGGAGGGAGAGGGTGTCGAGGCCAGAGGTGGGGTTGCTGTCTTTACGGAGTGGCCCGTGAACACAGACCGAGGGAGGCGCGAGAGCCAGCGATGCAGGCATCCGGGGAAAGAAGGTGTGGGCACAGGACACGCTGGGAGGACGTGTGGAGGAGGGAAGGAGGTGGGGTTTCCTGCCTGTGCCCCCCTCACAGGTTCTAGGTAACACAGGTGCATTGCACCCCCTCTCGGAAAGGCAGTGAGCTGGGCCCGGGAGCAGGCGGAGGTGACAGCGGGGTCCCGCCCTCGGGAGCTTGAGGACTAGTGGGGACAGGACATGTGCAGTGGCTGCCACAGAGTCGTTGCTCAGTTAGGTGTTGTTTGAATGAATGCATGAATGAATGCATGAATTTAACGATAGGAGACAAGTGTGCCCAAGGCAGGGACCGTCAGCGCTGGGCCAGAGGTGGGAGAGATGGCACGTGAAGGAAACCGTGAGTGTGAGAGAGGACGGGCGTGGAGTAGATGTGGGAATTCTTAGAAATGGAGAGAAAAGGGAGAGAAACGCTGGGGATGGGGGAGACGTCCAGGCTGTGAGCAGGTCAGTGGTCCCGTGAGAGCTTGGTGTCCTGAAGGCCCACCTGCTGGGGCAGAGTCGATGGATTAGGGGGAGGCAGACTGAGCCTGGGTGGGAGGGAGCCCAGAGCTGGGATCGCAAAAGCACGCTGGGCCCGGCTTTCGTGGCTCAGTGGTTGAGCATCGACCTATGAACCAGGAGGTCACAGTTCGATTCCTGGTCAGGACACGTGCCTGGGTTGTGGGCTCCATCCCCAGTAGGGGGCGTGCAGGAGGCAGCTGATCAATGATCCTCATCATTGATGTTTCTATCTCTCTCCCCCTTCCTCTCTGAAATCAATAAAAATATATTTTTTAAAAAAGAAAAAGTACGCCGGCCTGGAAAAAAGATAATGGGCTGTGGAGCTAGAACCCCTAGGACTTCGCACCTGCCGGGGGTGCTGGGGGTGCTGGGGTCACTGGCCCAGCTGGCTGACGGGTGGGGTGTCAGGGTGGGCCAGGGAAGGGGCTGCTGTGTGAGACGACTGAGCTGGAACTAACCCCACATCCGAGTGGGGGTGCCCGGCGGGCGGCCTCCGCTGCTCTGTGTCCCTTCCCTTCAGAAGGAAAGCTGCTTCTCATCCCGGGAACCTGGGCGTCCCCATGTCACAGCTGCCGGCTGGCCTGTCACCTGAGCCCCGTCTTTGTGGGCCCGGCAGATGCTGTGCTGCGGGATGATGAGCTGACTGAGGTTTGCACCTCCCCGGGGAGCAGCATCCGGGCCAGGGCCGGAGACGGTGGAGACAAGAGAGAGACGGCCCTGCATGTCCTGATGTCCTGGCCGTGGCGTGGGGACCTCGGCCCCTCCCAGTGTCCCCTCGCCCTTCCTCCTGCCCTCGCTGTGTTTGACTTGCGCTCCCTCCGTTGTTGCCCAGGAATGTGGCGTCACTCCAGACAGCGAGAATCTCACCCTGTCGTCATCAGGGGCCATTGACCAGTCGTCTTGCACGGGGACGCCTCTCTCTTCCACGATTTCCTCCCCAGAAGGTACGCGAGGGAGCGGGGAGGGCGAGGGAGTGGGGAGGGCGACACGTAACCCCCCCCCCCCAGCCCAGTCCTCAGCCCTGTGTTTCCTCCGGAGCAGACAGGCCCTGGGCAGCGAGTTAACACCTAAGCTGGTGACCAGCAGGCCCCACTGGAGGGGGAAGGGACTGGCTGTCCCCGGGGCGAGCTGGGGGACAGCACTGTCTTACCCCCAGTCCTGCACGTCCCTGGTCCCCGAGTGAGTTCTGAGCTCTGAATGCGAAGGAGCAGAGCCCTGGAAAACCTTCAGTCCGGCCCGGCCGAATGGCTCAGTGGTGAGCGTGGGCCTATGAACCAGGAGGTCACGGCTCCATTCCCCGTCAGGGCACAGGCCCGAGTTGTGGGCTCAAGCCCAGTGGGGGGCGTGCAGGAGGCAGCCGGTCAGCGATTCTCTCTCATCATTGATGTTTCTCTCTCTCTCTCTCTCTCTCTCTCCCTTCCTCCCTGAAACCAATAAAAACAAACTTTTAAAAAAGGATAAAAAAGAAAACCTTCCATCTAAAACCCCTTTGGTGAGGGGGAGGCCAGGCCACTGTGGCCTCGCTGAGCGGGGCAGGGGCAGGGCTCGGCTCCTTGCTCAGCTCCAGAGCCCGTGCTGACCCGTCTCCTCCTTCACCTCCCATCTCCACAGACCCTGCCAGCAGCAGCCTGGCCCAGTCGGTCATGTCCATGGTGTCCTCCCAGAGCCAGCACTCCCAGCTCAGCACCGACACGGTCTCCTCCATGTCCGGCTCCTACATCGCCCCCGGCACGGGCACGGGCACGGAGGACGAGGGAGAGGCGCTCCCCTCCCCGCTGCCCGCCAGCAGGGCCGCTTCCGAGGAAGGAGAGGTAAGGGCAGGGCACGGGGCCTCTCCGTGTGACATATCCGAGCAGCTCCCGCAAGGTGCGCCCGGGGCATCTGGGAGCCCCCACCGTGCTGGGAAGGGGAGCCATGGAAATGGGGGAATAGAACCCAGGGCTCCCCCCTCAGGCCTGACTCTGCGGGGCACCACTTTTTTTTTTTTTAATCTTCACCCAAGGATATTTTTCCATTGATTTTTAGAGAGTGGGAGAGAGAGGGAAAGACAGAGAGAAACATCGATGCGAGAGAAACACATCAATTGGTTGCCTCCTGCACACGCCCTGACCAGGGCCGGGGCTGGGGAGGAACCTGCAACCGAAGTACGTGCCCTTGACCGGAATCGAACCCGGGACCCTATGGTCCACAGGCCGACGCTCTATCCACTGAGCCAAACCAGCCAGGGCTGCTTGGCACCACTTCTGTCGCGAGGACGTGGTTGGGGTTTGCTGCGAGGCGGATGAGCTGGGTGCCCCCAGAGCCGGCGTGTCCGCACCTCCATTCCTGTTACTCTTGCAGGCGATGCCGGTGGCGTCTCCAGACAGCAACTTCGTGGGCCTCGCTGAAGAGCAGGACGCAGAGGTAACCCCCACAGGGGACGTGGTGCCCCTCCCGGCCAGAGGTCAGAGGGTCCTGGTGCTGGCTGGGGACGCAGACGGGAGGGGCGCTGTTCCGGAACAATCCTCCCAGGTGGCGTTCGGGTCAGGCGTGCTGGGGAGGGACAGCAGCTGCACTAGGGGCCGGGGGGGGGGTGTCCAGTTAGCAGAGGGCACTGGTCTCGGGTTACAGGCACGGAGTGGGCTCTGAGCACCTGTTTGTCCCTCATTCACTTAGTGACTCTTACACAGGTGACTGGGTCAGGGTGCTGGCCGGCCCGGGGCCATGAAGGCCTGAGTGGCCTGGCTTCTGCCTGCCCCCCACCTTCTGTACCCCCAGGCGAGGAGACGGGGTGACAATTCAGTGTGAGAAGTGCCTTGACAGAGGTGTCACAGGGCGGGCTCTAGAACTTCCCTTTTTTCCTCTAGAACAGTGGTTCTCAACCTGTGGGTCGCGACCCCTTTGGCGGTCGAACGACCCTTTCACAGGGGTCGCCTAAGAACATCATCCTGCATATCAGATATTTACGTTACGATTCATAATAGTAGCAACATTACAGTTATGAAGAAGCAACAAAAATAATTTTATGGTTGGGCCACAACATGAGGAACTGTGTTTAAAGGGCCAGAAGGTTGAGAACCACTGCACTAGAACTTCTTCTTGAGCCGTATATTCTCAGAGGAGAGTCTGGATAGGGTTTGCGATCGGAAGGGGTTTCTGTGAGGTTGGGGTCTCAGCGCTGTTCCCTCAGACATCTCTTTCCACCTTAGAAAGCAGATGAGCTAACCCAGCACCAAGGCTATAGCCGGCATGTCCAGCATGCATCCGAACACGCCCCAGACCAGTCCCTCCCAAGCCGGCTGGCCCCTGCCCGGCCTCCCAGGCACCCCCGACTCCTACGCTGCTGCCGCCACTGGCCCTGGAGTTAAACACCGTGAGGGTCACTAGTTCGGGCTCCAGCCCGTGAGTGTGCAGTTGGCCCTTACACGGCACAGTTCGGGCCGCATTGTCCTGGAATCGGCTGTCTTTCGGGTCTGCAGTGGGGAGCCCTGTGTGCAGAGGCCGGCGGAGACGTGGCCGGCACCCCGACCCGCACTGTTCCAGGCCCACTGCGCTCCCGCTATGCTCCGTAGGCTCAAGCGCCTTCCTTCTGTTGTAGGGCAATGACGTCATGGAGGAAGACGATGGGTCCCCCACACAGGAAGACGGTAAACGACCTGCTCTTGGCTCCCTCTCATCTGTCCTTCCCCGGGTGTTCTTTCACGGGCGCAGAGGGGCCCTGGCGTGAGCGGGTGGCACTCCTCAGCGTGTGCCCCGGGGAAGGTCACCTTCCTGATGGGATGGGCTGTCCGAGGACCGCAGTGCCCGCCCGGCTCGCTCGGGATGGGGGTGTAGCAGAGGACGGCTCCCCCTTTACGTGGAACACATTCCGAAGCTTCTCGGGCAGCTCCCACCGCCTGCCTTCCTGCTCCGGCCAAAGGACTCAGGCTGCGGGTTTCGTTTTGCTGTAGCGAAGGAGGCGGAAGGAGGCTGCTGACGTTGCCGGGACAGGGATCCCAGGAGCCAGCGCAGCAGGGCAGGGGGGTCCGTAGCTGCGGGAATGGTTTTCTCAGGCCTCCAGGACGCCCTCCGGTGGAGCGGTGTGGTTTCTAGTGCGGACAAGAGGAGGGGTGGCCTGCAGAGAAGGGAGTGGGGAGAGGGGGTGGGGCTGGCCCCCCAGGGGATGGAACCCAGCTCTCCCCTCTGCTCTGAGGCGCCTCCGCAGGACACCTCCAAAGCAGACCCGACCTGCGGGGTGCAGACGCCACCCTCATCGCTTCTGCTTCAGTGCTGGCCGTTGCTTGGGGAGTTCAGGGTGCGCATGCGGACTTGGCCACTCTGCCTGGCCAAGTCGCCCTGAAGGAGGGGATGGCCGCCAGGCGGGGCCTCCGCCGCCCTCTGCACAACGAGGCCCATGTCCTCGGTGCTCACGGCTCCCTTGGGGACTGTCCCCAGCCCCCCGAATATCTGCTTCCGACAAACTCAGGCCGCAGGTGCTTCCCCCCTGACGTCGTGTAGCCCCCAGGGTGGGTCTCTGTCTTCCTTTCCCTTTCAGCAAGAAATAAAATAAAATAGAAAGGGGGAGCCCTAACTGGTTTGGCTCAGTGGATAGAGCGTCGGCCTGCGGACTGAAAGGTCCCAGGTTCGATTCCGGTCAAGGGCATGTACCTGGGTTGCGGGCACATCCCCAGTAGGAGGTGTGCAGGAGGCAGCTGATTGATGTTTCTAACTCTCTATCCCTCTCCCTTCCTCTCTGTAAAAAATCAATAAAATATATGAAAAAAATTTTAAAAAAAGAAAGAGGGAGCTTGAAAAAAATAACTGCTAAAACCCTACCCTCCCCCGCTCACATGTCCGTAGGTTTCTGGCCAGTCCCCTTAAAACGTCCTCCAAATAACAAATTTCATAAAGTCCCATAAGAAGATGGATCCTAACTTGGTGCATGTGGCGGTTCTGACTTGACATGCAAACTTAGGGGACCTGCGAGACCTGCGATTGTTCGGTATTTAGCATTTGCAGAGCCCTGTGGTCACAAGCACACCCGACAGCACCCACAGACACAGGCAGGAGCAGGGCAGCTCCGCCGGCGGGTCCCCAGCTCCTCCCGCCCCTGGCAGAGCTCCCCGGCTGTCGGCAGCCCCCCTCCCCCAGGCTCCGGCTCCTGCGGAACAATGGCTGGAAAGGGGCCAGTGAGGGAAAAGGGACAGGCTAGGTCGAGAACGCGAACATGCCCACACAGTTAGATTCCTTATTGTCCGCTCTTTACCCACTTAATTGCTGTCTTTTTGTTTTTTAAACACATGATTCGGTTTGTTTGTCTCCATCCTTAAGATGTTTACGTTCAGGACAGCAGAGCAGAGACGCATCCAGCGCGCCCGTCTAACTGCGTGGACTCCCTTACAGGCCAGAGGACGTGCGCGTTTCTAGGCATGGAGTGTGACAATAACAATGACTTTGACATCGCAAGCGTGAAAGCACTGGACAATAAGCTGTGCTCTGAGGTCTGCTTACCGGGTGAGTGGCGGTCTGCTGAACGTGAACTTGGTGGGAGTCGCTCCCCTGCTCACACCCCTGCTCTCACCCCGGGGCGCCCACCTCCTGCCCTGCGGCTCCTGCAGAAGCCTGGGCCGTGCTGGGATGCCGGAAGCTGCTGCTGAAAGGAAGTGTGTGCCCCGAGGGAGAAGGTCAGGCCGGGAGGAGGGAGCAGCTCTCCCTCTCCTTCCCGTCTTCCCCGTCTTCCTGACGGCCCCTCCATCGCGATCTCGCAGATCCCATGGCGGGCGGCCTGGCCTGTGTCCCCCACAGGCGGTGTGGAAGGCAGCGGAGCCCTTGCGAAGGGCCTCCGTGGCTCCTCCGCAGGAAGGTGAAAGCCAGCGGGTTCTCGATGAGCGAGGGGCTCCGTGACCGTGAGCTTTGGGGGACCAGTCGCCTTGTACTTGTCAGCTCTGGATCCCAGAGGAGAGGTCAGGGCTGGAGGGTGACCGTGCCCCCTGGAGCCCTAACCTTACATTTCATCAGGGCAGTCAGGGCCCTTCCTCCTCCTCACGGCGCTACCCGGAACCCAGGCCGACTTCCTGCAGAGGAGCCGCGGTACCAACCGGCGTGCGCTGCCCTCTTCCACCCGCTGTGCCCACGTGGGGGCTCCCTGAGCCGCTTCTCCAAAGCCCAGGCCTGCCCACGCGGACTCGGTCAGACTTGCCCTCCGGGTTTTACGGCAGACGCTGTCCCTCACACGTGTGCTCCGTCATCGCTCCGCCAGCCCCTGAAATGGAGACATTTCAACCTCAGAGCAGCCCCCTGGCATCGTGGTCCAGTGCTTTACGCGTTCCGCGAAGTGGCCACGGCTTTGGGGCCACACAGCCGCCTGTGGTTGCCACGCTCCATCAGCCTGGGAAGGACACGGTCCCGCAGGCTCGGGCCGCAGGGAGCTGGGCCTCGGAGGCGCGCCCTCCAGCCTTTCCTGGGGCTCCTGGGTCGTGGTCTATGGAGGGCTGACCCAGGCCGGTCTGGACGTCACTTCCTGCCTCCCATCCCCACCTCGCTTCTGTCTGTCCGTTCGTTTTCCACGTCTTTTTCGGTTCTCTGGTGTCCTGTAGGCTGTGTGTGGAGGCTCACGTTCGCTCTGTGCCAACACTGTCCTCCCGGCTACGCCGCCCGCCCCCGCGCTTGCTGGGCCTGCGCGCATCCCAGCGCCTCCTGCTTCGGTTCCATCCCTAACTGGCAAGGGCCCGTGTTCCATAGACTAGGATTTTTCCAAGAAAAAAAAACTTTTTGGAAGAATATATCCATTCCTGTTCCAGAAAAAGGGGGTGCTTCTGTGCAAGGGTCCTGGGGCGGGTTGGTCCGGCCGCAGATGGCATCTCTGCCCTTGCTCCGCCATGTGTCTGCTCACTGGGCGTGCGTGCGTGGGAGAGTCTAGGTTCCTGCTCCCCTTTAGGCCCCCCCCCCCCACTTGTTGGCAGAGGGAGCTGCTGGGAGTTGTTGGAGCCAACCAAGCTGCTGGAAATGCGAGCGTATTCCCTCTGCTTCCTCCTCTTCCTCACACCCTCCGGCCAGCCTGCTGGTTGACATTCAGTCCGCTCTCGGGGTCGGGGAGGGAAGTGAGGGAGGGAAGGAAGGAAGGAAGGAAGGAAGGAAGGAAGAAAACGGTAACTGTTGGGAGGGAGGGGAGGGAGGGAGGGAGAGAAGGAAGGGAGGGAAAGAAGGGAAGGAAGGGAAGGAAGGAGCCCTGGGGTTCCTTGTGGGGATCTGAGATTAAAGTGGGGTCACGGCTGAGACCAGACACACGAACCAAACAACGCTGTGATGTCTGTCGGGAGAGGGACTCGGTGTAAGCGCTTGAGGTGTCTGTCCATTGTCCCCTCACCAGAGGTCTGGGGCTCTTAGGAGTCTGGTTCGGCCGGGAGCACCATGCGGGGAGCAAAGTGCTGGGGAACTCTCCGGAAGCGTCCGCTGGGTTCGTGACAGGCGTACCCGCTTGATAGGTCCCCTGGGATGGAGGGGCCTCGGCCTTAAGGTCAAACTTCCATCCCACGATGGAGATCCCGAGGTCCCTCCCCGCCGGCCGGCCGGGCTCCTCCGGCCTGTGGGCTCCAGACGGCTTCGCGGCCCTCGGTCTCTGTTTCCCTCTCCAAGCAGAGGGTGCCCCCCTCGAGGAGGGCCCATGAGAAGCAGAGCCGGGGGGCACCCCCTCTCCCTGTCCCCATCACCCTCCATGCTCACGGGTGCTCGGCCGGGAGGCGCAGCCAGCTGGTGGCGAGGCCCACACAGGTCCCCATCCTCACCACTGGTCAGAGTGACGCCGACAGGGCACCTGTGTCTCTGAGCCTCTCGTCCCCTAAGAAGCCTCTGGGGTTCTCAGGCCGGACGCCCAGGGGCGGAGGGGTGCCCCCAGGTTGTTGGAGAGGCTCTGCTCTCCAAGGGAGGACAGCGAAGCGGACGGGGCAGGGTGAGCAGTTGGGAATTCGGAGACCAGCGAAGGAGCTGCGGGTCCAGGGGATCGGACGGGCGATCACACGGGTGGCAGCGGTCGGGGACCAGCGGTCGTTCAAAGCCTCTGGGAGGTTGATGATGGGAACGAGCGAAGATGACGGGTTCAGTCCTGGAAACACTACAGTTTTGAATGGCCGCATCGGGCAGCCGTGGGCGCAGCTAACGGAACTAAAAATGCCTGTGGAGGCGAGTGGGTGACCCAGACCAGGAGGCTCCTGGGGAAGGCGGCACTCGGTAGAGACTGAGGAAACAGCCAATTCCCACCCCACCCCCCAGAAATCTCAGGAAAGGGGTGCCCTGAACGTGCGCCCCAAATCCGCCTCTAAAGGTCTTTTCACTCACCCATTTCTGAGTCCCCCAAACGGGAATTGAAGGGAAGCGCCTTTACCTGTCTCCCTCTGAGAGTTTAAACCAGGGGTCCTCAAACTTTTTAAACAGGGGGCCAGTTCACTGCCCCTCAGACCGTTGGAGGGCCGGACTATAGTTTAAAAAAAAACTATGAACAAATTCCTATGCACACTGCACATATCTTATTTTGAAGTAAAAAAACAAAACGGGAACAAATACAATATTTGTATTTGCATGTGGCCCGCGGGCTGTAGTTTGAGGACCTCTGGTTTAAACCTCTGAGCCCCGTTTTCTGGCCGGAGTCTCCCCAGCATCCGGGTTCCTTTCTGTGGCCGGGCTCGCCCCCTGGCCCGGGTGAGCGGAGGCAGCGTCCCCTGTCGGGAAAGGGCACCCCAGGCGCATGGGTAGCCCCCGGAGAGCGGACGCCAGCCCGAGAGTCTGGAGGCCGCCCCTGAAGACAGCGGTGTCGGCCGGGGAGGGTTCTAGAATGGCCGTGTCTGCGGCGAGGGCTCGTGTGAGCTCAGCAGGAGCCCGGCCCGCGGTCTCGGGCGGCGTCGTTTTGTTCTGTGCATGCGTGTGTGTCTTCGCTCCTGTTCACCATCTGCTTTTGGTCTTTCCCACCGCACAGCGCAGCTCCGGAGTCCTGCCCCCTAGACCCTGAGGACTAGGTATGCGACCCACCCCACTGTGTACATGACACAGCTCGTGCCGCCTCGGGGCTCCACGTCACGGGCGGCCTCGCCTTCCCTTCTTGGTCCTGCGCACGCAGAGTGCCGCCCTCACAGGGAAGGAGCTGCTGACCCCCACCCCCGACGCCGGTACCCCAGGGACCAGAGGCCCCCCAATTCCGGCTGGGTGTGAGACACCTGAGGGTTTCCTTTCTGCTCACCCCTCTTCCCTGGGGCCCACCTCCCCGACTCTCAGAGCCCTGAAAGCATTATCGCCCAGCACGTTTCTTGGAAATAAGCAGTTGATGCTGCTTAACCCCAGAGCCTCTGCCGCCAGAGGGTGTGGTTGCTGGCCTAGCCTGCGGCCGGCCCCCCACATTTGTGTGTCCCCCCTCAAACATGAGCACAGCCAACCTCGGCCCCGCCCTGCAGAGTTGGTCGGCCCTGCTCAGGTGGTGGTCCAGGCACAGCGTGAGAAGTGGGGCGTCCATGTGGGCTGCAGGGGAGCCCTCCGACCCCTGGGCCTCATCTGGCAGGGGCCTGTGGAGGCGGGTGGGGGCTCCGCTGCTCGGAGTCCCGAGTTAGGTCTTCCTCCTGCGCTGTGGGCAGCCTGGCCCTGCCTGTCCGAGAGCGTCTCCCTGCGCGGATGGAGCCGGGCCGTGGGCGGGGAGGGCGGGCAGGGGGAGATGCGAAGAGGGGAGCATTGGGGGACAGAGCCTGGGGCACTGGCCGTTGTGCACCTTCTGCCAGTGGGCGCCCCGCTCGGCGCTCTCCCCTGTGACCTCGCCCAGTCCTCAAGCTCATGCAGGCGGGAAGGCAGGAGCCGGGAGTGGAGCCCAGCCATCCTGACAGCAGGTTAGGCAGCCTGGGGAGTGAACGGAGGGGCAGTGGTGGATGGGATGCAGAGTGCGAAGGAGAGAGAAGAGCCGCAGGGGCCTGAGGGGAGGGTGAGGAGTTTAGGGGTGACACCTATGGGACCCCCAGTTTCTCGGCTAGTGCCTCCTGAGGTGGATGGCACCAGCGGATAGCAAACCTCGGCGGCTGCTCAGATCAAGAAGATGAAGAGCGGCAGGTGTGGGGACGGGGTGCTGAAGCCATGGCACTGCCCCCCCATGTCTCTAGCACCCTGCTGGGCAGCCAGTCACTTCCTGCCCCGCCCTGTCCCCCCCAGCAGACACTCAGGGTGCAAACACTTCTTCCCATCGGAGGAAAGCTCAGCTGGGCCCAGTTTCTTTCTCGTCCAGCATAGCACGTGGGCCGACTTCAAAACAAGGCACTAAAGTGGGTCCCTGGGCAAGTCCACAAAGCGAGAAACAGCCTGCGTGTCCCTCTGTCATGGGGCGCAGAGGCCCCGTGGGGCAGGGGCACTCACTTCCCGTTCCCTCTCCCGCGCTGTGGCTGCACACACAGAGTTTCAGGTGACACGCATCCTGCCAGCCTCCATGCCGAGCTCCCGGCTGCCCTGCTGGAGACCCAGGGACCTGGCCGAGGTCTGGCCCTGTGACCTTCCTCTCTCTCCTCAGGCACCTGGCAGGCCGATGACAACGCGCTCAGTCGTCGGCGCCGGTCGTCCAGCAGCCTGGAGGATGCCGAGAGCGGGCGCTGCGTGTGGGGGCCTCTGGCCGTCTGAGAGCCCGCCCCAGGCCAGAACCTCCTCCGGTCCCCGCATCCCATCCTGGACTCACTGGACCATGGCCTCCTGGGCATCCTCAGCGGGACACGTGGAGACTTTGACACCCACGTGGGAGCTGGGCGTGGAGGCCAGCCTGCTCTTCCCGGCCCCCAGCCTTCCATCACCAGGACCCCGGCCCCCTCCGAAGGGGCTGGACGCCTCCTTCCTCCTCAGAGACCCTCTGGAACGTTCCCACTGTATCTTGATCTTCAGGGGAGCCACGCCCACAGGCTGGCGTCTCGAGCATCTCCGTGGCGGGTAGACCAGAAGGCTCGGAGTCTTAGCGGCTGCATTGCAGGCGTTTTGGGGTGTCAGGGACAGCAACTCCAATTTGAAACCTCCAGTTCGGGGTGGATTTGAGGGAGACACGTGAGAAGGCAAAGCCATGTTGCGCTGTATGTGGAGTTTCCTTCCAGGACAAGAGAAATGGTACCAGCCCACCAGACGGTTGAAAAGACAGTTCTTGCTTCCAGCAGGCGAGCTGGTCTAAGCCTCATGTGAGTGTCTTGCTTAGAGAGGAGGCCTTGGACCTGAGACACTCCCCCCCACACCCCCCCCAGTTACATGACCGCCCTTGGGAGGGTCTTAGATCAGGTGCATCGGGAAGGCCTGGGACTCCACCCTAAGGTGACATTTCAAAACACATTTGTGACCACCTCTCTCCGGTGCGTGGAGCTGTCATCACTCTGGCCCTGTCCAGTGGTATTCTTACCCGTTTCCCCATCTCCACCCGTTTGTTCATAGTTGAAGAAACAGGCTGAGAGGGGGGTGGACCAGGGACCCTCCAGCTGGTACCCAGGACTCCCCAAGGGAGCAGTGCGGAGCGCTGAGCTGGGGGTCGGCAGTGGGCTCGCACTGGTGGCAGGAGGCAGGGCCTTCACCCCTGGGAGTCTCCCCGCC